TCCTATGAGAAAATCTCAGGTTTTTTTTGATTCCTCATGAGATAGAGGCAGAAAGTTACCCAAGATAAGTCTTAGCAAAGCCTCCAATTTGTCATATAATAAACTGATACACTTTATAGCCAATCTTAATACATGTACATATTTATTCAGTTTCTTTTTTTGCCTTCTCAGCAATTTAATAACAGGCTTGTTGGCTAATTTGGTCCAGCATTGTGCTAATAAAGTAACATTGATGGGTTGGGTTTAATTCCCTTTTAGCTCTGGTGGTCATGTATTGCACCCCTAACCTTAGCAAACATGAGCTGTTGAGTGACCTCAGAGAAACTGTGTTTGGCTCAGAACAAGTTGATCAACGTTATACAAAATATAATGCTTTACATAAAGTGTGTCAGAACTTTCATCTTTGTATTCAGGGACAATGCATTAATTTTCACAGAGAACAACACACGTGATTTGTTTAATGTCTACAATAGATCTCTGAGACAATCAGGAATAGATACTTGGAAAGTTCAATATCCTATACTCATTCAAATTGACCCTACTACTTATATTACACAGGCATATTAGTCTTTGACAAACCTCATGATCCTGTACATACTCAATTCATCTTGCTTTTAGATAGCCAGAAATAGCTAAATTAAAAATAAAAATGGGCTGGGATCAGTGGCTTATGCCTGTAATCCCAGCACTTTGGGAGGCCGAGGCGGGTGGATCACCTGAAGTCGGGAGTTTGAGATCAGCCTGACCAACATGGAGAAACCCTATTTCTACTAAAAATACAAAAATTAGTCAGGCATGGTGGCACATACCTGTAATCTCAGCTACTTGGGAGGCTGAGGCAGGAGAATCACTTGAACCTGGGAGGTAGAGGTTGCGGTTACCTGAGATCACACCATTGCACTCTAGCCTGGGCAATAAGAGCAAAACTCCATCTCAAAAATACATACATACATAAGTAAATAAATAAAAATAAAAATAGGCCGGCTGCAGTGGCTCACACCTGTAATCCCAGCACTTTGGGAAGCTGAGGCAGGTGATCATGAGGTCAGGAGATCAAGACCATCCTGGCCAACATGGTGAAACCCCATCTCTACTAAAAATACAAAAATTAGCCAGGCGTGGTGGTGTGCACCTGTAGTCCCAGCTACTCAGGAGGCTGAGTTCAAGTGAGGACAATCACTTGAACCCTGCAGGCAGAGGTTGCAGTGAGCCGAGATTGTGCCACTATACTCCAGCCTGGGCAACAGAGCGAGACTCCGTCTCAAAATAAACAAACAAAAACACAAACAAACAAATAAATAAATAAATAAAAATAATATAATCTATCTTTCGTTTTTAAAATTTATTTGTTTAGAGACAGGGTCCTGCTCTGTCACCCGGGCTGGAATGCAGTGGTACTATCACAGTTAACCCTAACCTTGAACTCCTGGGCTCAAGCAATCCTCCCACCTAGCCTCCCAAGTAGCTAGGACAACAGGAGTGCACTACCACATCCAGCTATTTAAAAAAACAAAACAAAACAAAACAAAAACTTCTTTTGCTGGCCGTGGTGGCTCACACCTGTAATCCCAGCACTTTGGGAGGCCAAGGCAGGAGGATCACGAGGTCAGGAGATCGAGACAATCCTGGCTAACATAGTGAAACCCCGTCTCTACTGAAAATACAAAAAATTAGCCAGGCGTTGTGGTGGGCACCTGTAGTCCCAGCTACTCGGGAGGCTGAGGCAGGAGAATGGCGTGAACCCAGGAGGTGGATCTTGCAGTGAGTGGAGATTGTGCCACTGCACTCTAACCTGGGTGACAGAGCAAGACTCCATCTCAAAACAAACAAACAAACAAAACAAAAAACTTTTTTTAGGGGATAACATCTCACCAGGTTGCCCAAGTTGGTCTCAAATTCCTGGGCTCCAAATATCCTCCCACCACGGCCTCCCAAAGTGTTGGGATTATAGGCGTGAGCCACCATGTCCAACTTACCTCAGTTTCTGATTGCTTATGGAAGAACCCTTACCTAAGGGCAAACCAATGAAAATAAAATCAATTCCAACTCAAAAACACAGATTTAATATGCCTAAAACAAAGTGATCTGAAATAGTGTGACTCATTAAGTGAGAGAAACCTACAGGGTTTCACTTAACAGGTGCTTCTGCTCAGCAAACTAGATCTACATTTTTAAAATTTTATATTTTAATTGACACATAATTACACATATTTATGGATATATAGTGATGTTTCTATACATACAAAGTATAATGATCAGATTAGGGTAATTAACATATTTGTCATTTCAAACAATTGTCTTTCTGTTGGCAACATTCAATATCCTCCTTCTAGCTATTTGAAACTAAGTGTTACTGTTAACTATAGTCACCCTACAGTGCTGTAGGACACTAGAACTTATTCCTCCTATCTAGCTGTAATTTTGCATCCTTTAACAAATCTTTCCCTATTCTCCCTTCCCCCTACCCTTCCCAGCCTCTAGTATCCTCTGTTCTACTTTTTACTTCTGTGAGATGAACTTTTTTTAGCTTCTACATATGAGTGAGAACATGCAGTGTCTAACTTTCTGTTCCTGGCTTATTTCACTTAACATAATGTCCTCTATTTCCATCCATGTTGCTGCAAATGACAGGATATCATTCTTTTTTATGGCTGAATAGTATTTCATTATGTGTATAAACACTACATTTTCTTTATTCATTCACCTGTTGTTGGACTTATGGGTTGATTCCATATTTTGGCTATTGTGAATAGTGCTGCAATAAATATGGGGGTGCAGCTGTCTCTTCGATATACTTTCTTTTGGATAAATGCCCAGTAGTGGGATTGCTGGATCATATGGTAGTTCTATTTCTAGTTTTTTGAGAAACCTCCATACTGTTCTCCATGGTAGCTCTACTAGTTTACATTCCTGCCAGGATAGAAGAGTTCCCTTTTCTCTGCATCCTCATCAGCATTTGTCATCTTTTTTGTCTCTTCATCCTAACTGGGGTGAAATGATACCTCATTGTGGTTTTGATTTGCATTTCCCTGATGCTTAGTGATGTTGAGCATTTTTTCATATATTCCTTGGCCATTTATATGTCTTCTTTTGAGAAATGTCTGTTCAGATAATTTGCCCATTTTTAAACTGGATTGTTTGTTTGCTGTTGAGATGTTTGAGTTCCTTGTACATCCTGGTAGATCCAAATTTCTGATGTGATCTGACATCTGACAAAGCCACAACAGTAAAGCAAGTGCCTTATAATTATCCAAAGATATTCAGAGGAAAGGAAAAAGATGATGAAAGCTAACGTTAGCATGAAAACTTATCAGACCAAGAATGAGGATAAGTAAATCTCCAACTTCAACTGGAAACAGAAATGGCTGAAATTAGAGCAGGAACAAATAAAATTTTAAAAAATATTGAAAGATACCAATTTGTAAATAAAATGTAAAATGCTGATGTCTGGTATTTCAAAGTAGATGTAAAAATCATGCTCTTGGAAAGGGCTGATACTCAAAACTTCTTCAAAGAAAGTTAAATATAAATACTACAGGCATGCGGTGGGGGAAAGGGGAGGAGAAGGAAATGGCAGAGTTAGTTTGGATTGTGCAAGTTGTGGAGGAAGACTGTCTGGGTTCTAGCTCTGCTATTTAGTAACTGTGATTTGAGCAGGTGTCTTAATCTCTGCATCTCAGTGTTCTCATTTATAAAATGGGAATAATAGAATTTACTCATAAGGTTGTTGTTAGCATTTTATTAGCTAATATATAAAGAGTGCTTATGCAGTGTCAGTATATAATAAGAGCACTATATAGCATTATACTTCTAAAAACAATATATCTAAAGATTAACAATGATAACATTTAATCAGAAAATCAAGAAGAAATCTGACACAGATCTACAATCCCTTATCCAAAATCCTTGGGAACACATGTGTTTCTGGATTGAATTTTCTTATATTTTAGGGCACAATACATTGTATTATCTGTATTTTACTTAATGTGTAGCAACCCTTCATCAAACACACTAACGTTTCTACAATGAAATGTATCAGTAGTCACACTAAATGGAATACTTTTTTTTTTTTGAGACAGTCTTGCTCTGTCACCCAGACTGGAGTGCAATGGCATGATCCCGGCTTGCTGCAACCTCCGCCTCCCAGATTCAAGTGATTCTCGTGCCTCAGCCTACCAAGTAGCTGGGACCACCACACCCAGCTAATTTTTGTATTTTTAGGAGAGATGGGGTTTCACCATGTTGGCCAGGCTGGTCTCAAACTCCTGGCCTCAAGAGATCCTCCTGCCTTGGCCTCCCAAAGTGCTGGGATTACAGGCATGAGCCACCACACCTACCCCATAAAGGATAATTTTAAATAGATTCATGTCAGTTCAGATTTTGCCACTAAATGAATTAAGAAATTTTTTTGTATTTTGGAATTACAGATAAGGGATTGTGAAGCTGTATCTGTAGCGCCATAAATCTTATTTATTAAATAATAGAATAATCATTAAGGGAAATATACAGCAATAATGATATTAAATGAAAAACTTTTCTGAAAACCTAATGAATACTCAGAAAACCTAGTAAGTTTCTTTTTCACTTAAGAAAAAACAAAAAAATGTATATATAGTTGTCATACAGGATGTTACTTGGCTTACACTTGTATGACTTTTTGTGACATAAATTGTCCACAATGTCTCCCTGGAACATCTCCCTGTATGTTCCCATGACTGACTATTTCAGATCTCTGTTCAAATGTTACTTCTTCAGAGAGGCTTCCTTGATCACTCTATTTAAAATACTCGGTGAGCAGCATGTATAGACACTTTCACATACAATCACACAGAAACTCTCTTTCCCCTTTCCTATTTTCTTCTTAGCACGTATTACTATCTAACATTGTATTATACATTTGTTTATTATCTGTTGTACATAGACTAGAAACTCTATGACAGCAGAAATTTCATTTTGTTCAAGCATCTAGAACAATATGTGGTAAATAGCCATTTGATAAATATTTTCAAAACATGACCCAAGAAAATAAGGCTGACTGAAAAACAACAAAGGATTCCAAGAACTAGTCCTAACATAGCAGGCCATACCTACTTTCCAGAAGTTCAAGGCCAGAAAAAAAAAGAGCCATCTAAATACCAGATGTAACATGTTTATGTAAGATGTCTATTTTTATAGTAATATAAAAAAACTCATCATATACATACTTATTAAGTAAATATTTCCTATCTAGGAAATATAAGCTAATCATTACATTTACTTTATCTTAAATTTTATTTTTTATTGATACAAAATACTTGTACATAGTTTGGGGCTACACTTAATAATACATTCATATAATTTGTAAAGATCAAATCAGTGTAATTGGGATATCTATCATCTTAAATTTTTGTCTTGTTATTTGAATTATTCTCTTTTAGCTATTTTGAAACATACAATAGATTGTTATAAACTATAGCCACCCTACTGATTTATCACTATCAAACTGTATATTTACATTAATCAACCTCTCTTCATCCCTCTTCTCCTCTCCCCTTCTCAACCTCTGGTAACCACCAATCTACTCCCTGTCTTCATGAGGTAGGTGCTGGGATTACATGCATGAGCCACTGCACCCAGCCAGGATTTCATTTTTTTTATGGCTGAATAATATTCCATTGCATATGAATCAATTTTCTTTAACCATTCATCCACTGATGGGCACTTAGGTTGATTCCATATTTTGACTATTTCAATAGGACTTCATTAAACATGGGAGTACAGCTATCTCTTTGATATGTTGATTTCCTTTCTTTTGAATATATACCCGCTAATGTAATTGCTGGATCATATGGTAGTTCTACTTTGTTTTCAGAGGCACTTCCATACAGTTTTCCATAGTGGCTGTACTAATTTACATTCCCACCGACAGTGTATGAGGGTTCCCCATTCTCCACATCCTTCCACCAGTATTCATTATTTCCTTTTTGATAAAAGCCATTTTAACTTGGATGAGATGATATCTCACTGTGGTTACATTTACATTTAATAATTAATTTTGAGTATTTTGTTTGAGTATTTAAGTAGACAAAAAAAGTATGCTCAAAAGATAAAAATGATTACTATAACACAAAATATTAAAGAAATAACTGACTTTACATTTTTCACTTGGAGTATTGTCTTGATTTCTTCCCCTGACACATTTTAATCACCACAGAAAGAAATCCCACTGACCTTCTTCATCTAACTGCAAAGTGCTACTGCATTAGGTTACAAAAATGGCCTGGATTAGCCTCAGAAGGCACTGGTGTCTGGTTGTATATATGTACAGCAACATGTTGCATTTAAAAGTAAGCAAGCAAAGGAGTTTTAGAGCTACCATAAAATATGCAACAAATTTCAATAGTGCTATCCAGTTCAGATACATCCACTCTTTGGAAAAACTCAGCTTTCTTCTCCATCTCTAAGTTCATCCACATGTTAGTTCTGACATCTGAATTACATTTAAAAACAAGGAAAGAAAATAAAGGTGCAAATAAGAATTTAGGTCACACTCTGCAAAAGTATCAATAATAACTACCATTTTCAAATTGTCATACTTGTAGCCTACAAATTTACATTTTGCTGATTATGGTAAATGTAAGACAACAGTATCATTTCAACATCTGTTACTTTTATTTTGGTATTTTATTCTTGCCATTACTCTTAAATGATAAAGAAAAATATGCTTCAACAGTACTTAATGACTTTCAAACTGTTATCCCAGATTCTATAAGGATTTTCTGTGAGAATTACTTGAAAAAAATAATGGAAATTGAGATTGTATACAGTTTCTATAGGAAGAGGACCCCTTGGAATAAAACAAATTAGCACACACATCTGGCTCAGGTGCTGTTAACCAATGATTCCAGAATGGGAGGAGATGGGTCAAAAAGATGAAGCCAGACAACTGATACTAAAAAAGATCAGAGACTCATAGTTACATAAAATTTGACAAATGAGATCAAGTTTAAATAATTACTGGTCCCTTTGCTCTCAAGTTATTGTTTAGTGAGTTTCATCTGGATAAACACATTTTGGTGGTGGTATAGTTAGGAGGATGAGAAATGATGTTCCCCAGCTTAATCCCCTCAACAGAGAAGGTTCTGCTTACCTGATTATGAAAACCAATTCAATATCATGTTAGCATTTAAGGAGTAAACTAAAGAATTCACTTTAACTACTCCAAAATCAACAAAGAAAAAGCTGTCCTTGCTTAAAGCAAAAATTCAAGATTGCTACTATAGTCTGTTTCAGTGCACATATCAACTCTACAAGTCTCACACTTCTGACCCTTGTCTTCAAGTCCCTAAACTGGAATAAAACCAGATAAATGCCTGACGAACCACTTCGCACCCTAAACACGTGCAAACTTTGTTCAACAGAACATTTTACTGCCAAAATGGAGTTGGCAGAAGTTTGGAGCAAAGGCCCCCAGGCTGCATGATTTGTTGGCACCAGAGAGCTTAAAAATCTTAACATAATACTGCAGAGTTTGAGTACTACCAATTTGCTTGAGACTCCTCCTCCAAGTTTGACTTGAGAACGATGGAAGCTGCCATCAAGAAAGACTATTAACACTTCATCCTCTATCCAGAAATACTTTTATTTCTCACTCCTGATTGTCATACCTCTATATTCTTTGGTGGTTGTACTTACATGGTAAATCAAATGGAGACTATTTTGAAATGCATATAAATTCAATTGTATTGGGTTGCTTGGATAAAGGGACACAGTGAGAACTACTATAAATACACAAAATTAATTATGACAAAGTTCTACTTAGAAAACACTTGATCCAAATAACCCCCGTATATCACAATTTCTTAACCTAAAAATGTGGGAGAAATTAAGATATAGAATTACCTGTAAATTGCTACCGTTTTACATTTGGTTCAGCTTGTCTTCTCCCTTCTGTAAGCCTGAATGATGGCAGTTTATCTTGGATGTGAACAATTTAGGAAAGCCAGGAAAGAAGCCAAGTAGAGTTCTCTTCAACAAGGGTCAACAATAAAGTCTTACTTGGAATTTTCATAAGCTTGATGCTGTTAATTAGGAAAAACTGCATCTGAATTTTAAAATTACAGTTGAGTACAGGCAACTATACAGTAACTTCAAACCTGTAAATGCTTGATAAATATGCAGTACTGAGAAGGGATGGTTTGCTTTGGAAGATTATCTTGTCCTATGTTTCAATAAAAGACAAGGTTTAAAGAGATGCTACTTGCTCCTCAAACACCTAAAAAACTTTTTTCTTGAAACTTTCTAACGTTTTCCCTCCGTAGCTCTATGTATTTTATTAATGTCTCTGATAGCCTTTCTGTTTTTCCTCTAGAACCTCCAAGTTTTCTAATTCTCAGCTATGATTTTATATCATAAAATCACCAGCTTTTAATCTCCACAATACAGTTGGAAACATTTAGGACAGAATATCCTGTAGGATATTAAGTTGCAGAAGACTGTACTTCCAAGGATATTTATATAGTAGTGCTGCCACCTAAAGATGAGGTGAATATAAAGAAGCAATTCAAAGGAAATGACCCATCACCCTTAAGCCAGTCTCATTTTCTCACCTCCAGCTAGGAATTAATAAGCATGATGTTGTTGTTGTCGTCGTTAACAGGGAAGTTGAATTGTTTCGCAATAACTTATTTCTGAGCTCTAATTCTCTGTGGCAGAAAATTTCACACTCAAACCTTTTCTAGTCCTCTGCGATTCTTCTCAGCCATCAGGCACTGCCTACAATACTAAAAGGGGGCAGCAAAAGATACTTGGAAGAAAACAATGGAGAGATTTCTGGTTTACTGAATAAAGCAGGCAATAATATACCTTAGAGTTTTCCCTCTATCAGTGATAGACTCCTCACAACGCTGAACAACTGACTTACATTTTGATGACTCAGTTTTCATCTGTAAAATGGGATTAATTATACCTTAGTCCTACTTGCCTCGCAGGCTCAACTAGATAGGCTTTTAGAAAAGGTCCTCTAACAAGTGAGTTTAAAAGTCTACCATTGCCTAATAAAGGGTGTATCTGCAAAGTAACTTCAAAACAAAACACAGTTAAATAGGTTGAGGCAATGATTAAGTTTTCCTAAATCACAGTTGGACTTCTCGGAGGTCTATTTAAATACTGATAAAGATGATAAAGGCAGTTTTTATTTTGCTGCAGTTATTAGCTGATCCACGTTCCATCTACGTACTCACTGTTGCAGGATGGAAACGTGACAGCATAGAAAGCGAGGGAAAGCGTTACCGTGCACCAAAAATCTTGTCTAACTTGATACGATTTCAAGAAGACTGTCTTAAAGGACATTTTATAATTTCACATTTAGCCCTTGCATAGAAACTTATGAAAATTAACTTTTACCCTTTCCCCCTCGGCCCAAGGAAGTCGCATTCCCTCCAAGGGGCCCGGCTTCAATATATTACACTGCGTGGGAGGCTGGGCATCAACCCCACGCCTCCTGTCAAGGATTCCCGGGGCCAGTGCCTGAAAAGTGGTCTAGCCCCTCTTCTCTATGTTAATTCTCTCCTTACAACCCCTCTCGGCGGGTGTCTGAGGGCCAAGGTGAGACCTTCCCGGGAGATGAAAGGCCTATTGCCTCCTCAGAGACACGGCGGAGTTGGGGCGGGGGTGCGGCGTGATCGGGCGGTAGCGGCAGCCGCAGCGATGCACAGGGCCCTAAGTTGGAGCTGGCGCAGGCCCTTCAGGGTTCTATCCCCGCCTGAGCCTGGCTTCGGCCTTCAGAAGCTCAAAGAGTAATAGGTCCTTCTGGGGCGCTGCGGGCGGTGGGTGGAGGAAGTGTGGGCGGAGAGGCCACAGACAGCCCCCTCCTCAGACGCGCCTCAAGGCCTGGGCAGCGGAATGTTGACGCGCCCGCAGCCGAGAGGGCGCGCTCACGCGCGAGGGGGGCGGAAAGAGCGCGCTCGGCGGCCGCCGCGGCGGCAGCTAAAACCGAGGGACGCGAGAGCGAAGGGCGCGAGCCACGGAGTTGGGAGGAGGGGTGGGGAACGCGGAGCGCGCGCTGACGTCGCCTGGAGTCACGCACGGAGCGCCGGGTTACGCGCCGACGTCTGGCTGCCACGACTTGCCGTCGGCGGCGGCGGCGGCGGCGGCGAGCGGATCCCGCAGGGGAAGGAGGAGGAGGGACAGCCAAGGGGGCTGTGAGTGAGCGGGAGAAGCAGGGTGTGAGCCGGACTTGCCCGCGGGAGGGAGAGCGAGCGAGAGCCGAGCCAGCCATCCGAGCCGCCTCCTCCTCCTCCCCTCGGCGTCCCGCCCCCGCCTGCCAGCCCGCCCTCCTTCCTTCTTAGCCCGCACAGCCCAAGTGAGGCGCAGCTCGGCTAGCGCCGCTGTCCAGGACAGGTGTGCGCGCGCGCGCCCTCCTCCCCTCCCCCTTCCTCGCGCCTGCCTCGCGCGCGCCCTCCCTCCCGCCAGCCTGCGCCCTCCCTCACCTGCGGCAGGACAGCGCCCGCCCGCCCGGGTAAGCCCCTCGCGACCTTCCCTGCTGCCACTGCCACAGCTCGAGGTGCCGCCCGCCCCGTCCCCTCTACTTGCCCTCTCAGCACAGGAATAATTATAGTACCATTGCAGACATCCCCGCACCCTCCCTCTTGGAGACCCAGGCGGTGCAGCAACGTTCTCCCCCACCCCCCGCAGCGAGAAACGAATGAACCCCCTCCTACTTCCAAAAGAGAACAAAATAACACGCCCCTTAAGAAAAGAGACGATCCTACCTCCGCAGGCGCTGGAGACCACCAGTGATGCGTTTCCTTAGCAATCCCTGAGCCCCATTTCCCCTGGCCGCCTTCGCCCTGGGGCCTGGGACTGTGCGCTAGACGTGGCTGACACTCCCTGCACGGCAACAGTGGAAGGAGGGAGAGGAAGGAGAGTTCTGTAACCCAGGCTTCACTGCCAACCCCTCCTCTGTTCGGCTGCCCCCACCCCACCACCACCAAATGCATACACCCGCCCAGGATGCGTTGTAAAAACAAAACAAAACCAGAAAACAAAACAAAACAACAACAACAACAAAAAAACCCTTTGGTGCTGACATCGCAGATGAAGCCAGGCCCAAAGATGGGTGGCCCGAACAAGGCATTTTTACTGCCCCACAGCGCTGGGTCAGCTCCACAGCTCCTCTGCCTTTGTCCGAAGGCAAAAGGAACGGATGTGAAGCTGAGGGGTCTTCTCTGTGAGCGGCGGTGGGACCCGGAGGCGGGCTGTGATGTTTGTAGGGGAAGGCACCCAACCAATATATCTGCCATAAACCTGAACTTGGGTTGGAGAGGCCCAAGAGACTGGCTGGGGTAACTCTGGTTCGTAGCTGTCTACCCCGGAATAAATGCCACCTTCCTTTCCGCGGTGTCGGCGGGACCCTCTGTTGAGGGTTCTAATTCGTTTTGGTCTGGGCTCCTTACATTTCTGGCCGGCCAGGCGCTTTTGGACAGCTTTTCGCAGCGGTGTCTATGTTTGTGTTCGGTGTCCTTGGAAGGGAGGTCCCAGAGCTTTACAATAGGCTGGATTTGGTTTGACATCTTTTGGTGGACTGTCAAAGGGGAAAGGAAATTTTTGGATTACTTCAAGATCTCCCACCGCCCCCGCCCAACTGACGTTTGCGAATTGCGGCTTTGGAAATTGAAGTGTTGACTAGAGTGTGGAGAGAGAGTTGCTGATTTCATTGCTTTGAGTACTAGTAAAACCATTTAAGTATCAGCCGGAAGGGAGACAGCTATTGACATTTACATCGGTTCTGTTTGGACCTTTGGAGTACATAAAATGTCGGGTTCTCTGAATCTTTTATCGAATTTAGAATGTCTGCTACGTTTATTTAACTCTTCTGCAAATGCTTAAAATGAAAACATTTTGGAAATGCGAGGATTTTTATCAAGTGGATTGTTCTCTTCATATTTTAAATGTTTACTTCATATCTTTATTCCTAAACATTAAAATAGCATTGAAGAGGCATGATTTTCAAGATTAAGTGAACTATAGAAAAGGGATACGCTTTTAAAGAACGATCTGGGAAATGCTGTTACTATTAGTCGTTGTTGTTAAATGTTAAGATTTATTTGAGAGTTTCTCAATTTTTTTGGTAGATAGTCATGAGAAGAAATGGCTAATTCCTTCACTTTGAACATTTACAGTATAACATCCCAGTTAGTTTTAATGATTTGGGTATTGAAGATAGTTGTCTGGTTTAAGATTGGTATTTAACCTAAGTATCACTTGAAAACACAAGCTCTAATGTTCATTATTTTGGAAATTTGTGATTTTGTAAAATATTAATCAACATATTGTTTCTATTAGGAGCTCTATAATCAAAAGGGTTTACTACCCAGAGGTAGACAACCTCTTTCCAAGTCTATTTTACAAATGTGTGTTGATTTTTACTTTATAAAACCAAAGCTGAATTAGATTATTTCAGAATCACTTGTAGTTCAGGCTGAAGAAAATTAAAGCTTTTTTTCCTTTTTGTTCTGCCTAATGTCTATTTCTTTGCGCACAATTTTTTGTTGGTAAGAGTTTGTTAAATACATAGAGACGGGGATTAAAAATAAAGCAGTCTCTATTCTCTTTAAAATGTGTCTGTTGTATTAATAATAAAAGGGCTCAAGAAATCTAGAGACATTGTCTTTAAAATGTAAGCATATTTTGAGGAGAAAGGAAATGTTTACTTTTTCACAAGTTTTTCATTAACATGGATTTTTGCTGCATGTTAATTTGCTGTATATTTCGTTTTCCTTTTGTCTTTCCTACATTGTAATGAAATTATACATTTAGTTTTACAACTATTTGTTTTACAGTAACAAATTCAAACATCTGGATACTAGAACAGACTTTTCATTCACGAAGTTAGTATATTGTTTAGATAATTAACGAATGGTTAGAAGTCTTAAAATCCACTTATTTTCTAATGACTTTTCAGTGTTAAAATGCAAATATAACTGTGAAGTTTTATTTAAAGTTTAAACTTTTGGTTTTAAGACTTTTGGGGAAGTTTATGTTCATTTCTCCCAGATTGCCTTTTAAGGCTACTGTACACTATAGCCCAAGGAAAGCTGCCTTTCACCTCCTTAGTCTGAGAAAAAGCCCACACTTACAGGCTTATTCTGAAATTAACTCTCGTTTCAGTAGTGAAAATATGCTAAAAATCCTATTTATCACTGAATGATTTTGGAAATGGCATTGTTTATCTTGTTTGCTTTTTAGATACTCTTATAAAGTGGGAGAGAAGCTGACATATAAGGGCAAAAGTTTTATACATATATAATGAATAGAATAAAATAAATACGTATTTATGTGGAGAGATCTAGGTCCCAGTCATTTGCTGATTTGAGCTTAAAATTCCCAGTTTAAGTGTACAAATGATATTCAACTTGTGTTCTGTCTAGAAACTTCATCAGTTGCCTCTGCGCTGGGGAACTAAGAAGTCAGTTCTTGGTGGCAGTCATTTTTTCAGAAAAACAGGGCACTTCCAAACTCAAATCACTTCAGAATCCCTGTATATAGACGTCTAGGACGGAGGGCAAGAAAATTTAGACTGGAAGTTGGGATAGGAAAGCGGGCAGTTTCGAGTCTTAAGTCTTCCGTCCTGGGGGCAGCAGTCAGCACAGAGGAAAGGCAGGGACTGGCGGGGGTAGGTGGGGCCCTCATCGTATTCTTGTTGGCCTTTTTGCTGCCTTGAGTTCTCATTAGGGAGCAGGGGCTTGGTTTGACTCGAGGTAAACTCTTGAGGAAGAGCAGCAGCCCTTCTAGATCGGATTATACCAGATCTTAGCCTCAGTTTACAAGTGAAGCGTAATGCCCCACACCATTCTCTGTGGAGAGCCTGCTACTCAGCCTTTTTGTCCCTGGAGAGGCTGGGGTCTATCCAGGGTCCTGATTACTACTGTTTGAGTCTGGAGGAGCTACTGCTTCTTCACACATGTATTTCTGTGCAGTTGAAAGTGCTTCAAAAGTTCCTGTGTCCCTTTCCCAATAGACTTTGGGACAGGGGAGGGAGTGCAGAAAAAAATCAGCACGGAAAGAGTACTACAGGGTACTAGAGGTTGCCCCCCAAATAAGGGGAAATTCTTTATGGGGCCCAAAGACTAGGTTTTTTATCTCTTAGTGTGGGGCCTTCCCTTCAGAGAGCCATTTCAGGGACCACTGGCATAGGTGGGTGGTTCTGAGACGGGTGCACAGGACTGTGCCTGTTTGCTCCTTCGTGGCCAGGTGCTTCTTGTTTCTTTTCAGTGGGAAGTCACAAACTTCAGCCCAGGGCTGAAGCAGCTAATGCTGAGTAGAATGGGGCTCTTGCTAAGAGAAAAAGGAAGCTGTGAATGAATACTTAGCAGGCAAGTTTGTTCAGGAGGTGAAGGGATATGGTAAGGGAGCTTTGAGGGTTCAGGAATCAAGGCTTATTCTCTAGGCTGCTCTTGGTTTCTTGATCGTTAGTCCACTCTTTTCTAGGAAGCTGGGCAACCATATTCCCAGTTGTCCCTCCGGCTAAGAGTGAGGGAGGCAAGTCTTCTTACTTTTGGGGGAAGAAGGAGATGCTCAATGGGAATAGAACCCGCAAATGGAATAGGTATACTTTTCTCAGGATAGAGGTAACGATCTGTGCTTGAGAAAGCCAGGGGCAGAGCTGTGTGATCTATATCCTCTCAGCTGCCTGTAGAAGGTGATGGGGGAGAGTGTGGAAGCATTGGCGGGGGTCCCCTGGAGATAGGCCTTAGCTTTCCCACAGTGCCAGCGCTGTAGACTGCAGTGAGAGAGTATGAGCACTCAATACTATCTGGAAATAGGCCCTAGGTTATACATCAGGTCTAGTAAAAGAGAAGTCAGTTAATCTCTGAGCCCCTCCTCTACTCCTGAGCCCCTTTCTAACACCAGAGAAGATCCCTTTTAGCTATCACCGTCCGAAGACTCACTGGTTAATTAATGGTCAGCAACCTAGCTGTCTGCATAAAAACCAGCGACCATTTAATGTTTTACTTTTGG